AAGACAATACATGCCTTTGTCTGCTGGTGGATAAATTAGCGCAGGAGCCTGGGGTCAGTCTTTGACTGACAGCTGTTTACGGAGTGTTCAGATTACAGGGATGCTGCGTGAGCAGCCAATGAGCAGTGGTACCAGGGCTGCCAGATTGAGTGGCCACAGATGTAGAACTGCGGGATAACAATGGTGACGAGTAGAAGAAATAGATTATGAAAGCATAAAAAAATATTTTTATTCGAGGGTTTAAGGGCCACCGATCACTGCAGATTATGGTGACCTAGTTACTGACTGACAATGACACGTACAGGACAGAGATACAGGGTAGTAATGGCACCTTAAGTTTTATGACTGTTTTAAATTGTCCTGACAATGTCAGTATTATACTTGTTGAAATTGCTAACAGTGCTCACAGTAATCATGGGTTTTTACCGTTGATACAATAACTGATGACTAAGTTTCAACAAGACGACGAGCAACTAAACTCCTAAAATCCTGCAAACAACCCAAGGTTAATAAACTACACAAATCTACAATAGCTACACATATAAGAACCAATTAGGTAAATCGCAATCCTAACATGGTATATCTCAGACACTATTATTTTGTCATATTGGTAAAAATAACAAACAAAAAACAGCAGTATTTGGTATTGTTAAAATGTAATGTTCGCCCGTTACTGACAAAGTTACAGTTCTGCTGGACATCGATGGGGAGTTCAACAATTAGCTGAGGCCCTTGTTTCTAAAACAAGAGATGCTGCTTCACAGCAGAGCCATTACGGACGCAAATATGGTTTTCATTAGGAGCCATGTCATCCAATAACACTCTGAATGAATCAGAGCTCTTGAATCAGAGGGAGATGATGGTCTGTTAGTTTTTGGGATTAGTGTGCTACCTCACAAAACTTCTCTTCCATCGTTTCTGTTTTTGACGACCTTCCACTCACCTTCCTCTTCCTCCCACCTTTGCTAAGTTTCTTCTCAGTGTTTCCCTTAAATCCAGCAGTCACAGCACTTCTGCTTATTTCAACTCCTCTTAGGATCTTCTCTTTTTATCAGTCATGCCATCTGTCCTCCTTCATATTCATTCAAGCATTTGTAGAACTGAATGAATCAATCAGCTCACACCGTGGATGACAGCTTCAAATCCATTTTATTTACATGAGCCTTGACTCACAAAGTGGATGAATTCCAACTTTTGTTCTGTTTCTTTAACCTTCATTTTTGCTTTCCTAATGCTAAATCTGGCTAACTAGCCAAAGCTAAATCATCTGCATTGCAGTTAGTTTTTGGCTATTAAAAATAACAAAATATCTTGTTATTTTAATGTTCCAATTCAGATTATGGTTTCTGTGCTATTTTGGTCATTTAAGTTATATATTTTTTAGACTCTAGCTTACTTTTTAATTACTTATTATTTTTCTTCTAATCAAATTTTAGTTATCTAGAGAGTTTTAATATTTTAATTACCAAAGTAAGGCCTCAGTTAAATTATTATTTCTACTGTTACTAGTTCTTTACGAATTGAACATTATTCTATTCTGCATAAAAAACACAAGTTGGTGTACCGTATAACGCCACTGGGTGGCAGTAAATGACTAACTGTTGCTAGCTGTTGTTTCTGTGAGTAGTTTTCTTTCTCTGAACACATCGATGACTAACTGTTGCTAGCTGAGTAGTTTTCTTTCTCTGAACACATCTTTTTCAGAACAACTGCAAAGAAAATCATCTTTTGATATTTAGTTATAGTTAATAATATGTACCCAAGTACACGTTAAACTGCCACACTATCAACATATTAATGTCCTGCCAACAAACGGATAAATCAATGTGTGTGTGGCTGTCACTGTTAAACTTTTAACTGACCTAAAAACAAAAGGTCACAACTCCATCCTTAATCTCTAACCCTGACCCCTCAAACAATTCTTGACCTATAAGAAGCCCCCTGCTGTTAATTCAAAGACACTTTGAGGGATGATATTTAAGGGGTGAACTTAGTGATGAGGGCAGTCCTGCTTTGACTCAGGTTGGTAGTAGGAAGCATTGGAGGTAGCATGTTGTGGCAGCTTGTAGTGAGGCTGTGGGTATATTTGTAAAATTGTTGATGTTTGTAATAGCTGCTTTTTCTTTTTTTCTTTTTTGCATTTTCTGAGCATCTTTGTGCACTGTAAATGAACCTGCACTGTTATTCAACAAACCCAAACTAATTTTTCAAGTTTAATTTGGGTTGATGTGCTAAGTGAGGTCAGGACGATGACTTCCCTGCCTCACAGGGCTGTGTACATGATACCACTGACAAAGAACAGTACATGTACTGCTACTTCTCTATTGTCTTTATATATTTATATCTGGTTATTCACTGTGTGAGTGTGAGTCTAGAGTTGTATGTTTATGTTATGAGTGTGTGTGTGCCTAACAGACCAATCTGGTTAAAATGACATTCAGCAGACAGACGTCCTGGTCCCATATTCCATCAGACAACTCTATTAGTCTGCGCCGGACATTTTCGAGAGTTTTTTTTTTGGATGAAATTTGTACCCCTGAGGAACAGCTTTTTCCTGTTTTGATCTACGATTGTGGAAATCAATGCTTGTTGTGTTTCAGGACTGAAATTGTTAGTTTAACCACAGCAGAGTGGTTTTTAAAAGCAATATTGTAGTCAGGCCTTCAGACATTCACTCTAGTGATTTAAATCTGGGCATAACATGCATTTGTAAAGGCTGCAGTAGCTGGGATTAATGTGACAATTAAAAGAAAAATATACACGTATCATGTCTACAAGGTGAAATAAACCTGGTCTTTACAGCACTGCTAATGTGTTTAGATTAAAGTGCATTGGCTTGGCAATAAACTGCAACATACAGTACCTTGAATGAGTGGGTGGATGTATTCAAATCTGTTAGAACTGTTCACAGACTTCAAATATGGACAGAGCTGTTGGGTCAAGATTGCAATGTCATATTGAATATTTATTACCAATTTCCTTGTATCTTATTTAGAAACTGCAGACCTTTGATTATCATATATATTCTTTAGTGCCAGGTTTGGTAGATGTTGTGGGTTTTCTTTATAAAAATAATCAAATGATAAGTGAACCATTATTCATACAGTGAACCAAGCAAAGAGAACTGAAGAATTGAAGTTTCCTTTATGTCAATTTCCCTATTATGTTTTTTCCTTATTTATCAAACTCACAAAATATAGAAATCGCAAAAGAATTCGATTTTATACCTGTATGTATGTGTAGAGGAAACTGCGTCCTAGTGTTCAAATAGAAGTTTACTTTCTAGGTGTTTTAGTTACATGTCAAGGTAACACATGGCCTCGGTAAGTACTAAAAGAAAGAAGCAAACAAATAGAAAATCTTCATTCATCCTTTGTTCCAGACATCACTCCCCATCCTTCCTCGCCCTAATTCCTTTACCCTTCACTTCACTGTCATATCCATCACTTCCACTTTCATACTTTTCTTCATCATCTTTCTTCCGTTCATACGTTTCTATCTCATCCTTCCTTTCCTCATTCACTCACTCCCTGCCTCTGTCTCTGCCTGATGGGTCCCAGTAGATGCTCACTCTCTCTGACCTGATGGAGGATTAGTATGGCATTTAGTAAAGGGCAGCACAATAATACATGGCAAGTCACACACTCTGCACATTCCATTTGTCCATTTGCTCCCGCAGCTTCCATCTCCATTTATCTCATGTCTGAGTCTCATGTCCTGTGGTTCTACGTGCTAAACTTTCCCCACCTGATTGTGTTTGGACCGTTTTCCCCTCCTCAATTTTTAATTTTATTCTTTTATTATGTTGTATAAATGCAAAAAGACAGATCTAATGCCGATTTGTAGACAATTATCAGTACAAGTGATAATTAATTTGCTGTTGTAATTTATCATTTACCACCATTTCTATAACTTTTCTAATCCTGAAAAGGTGTCTCGAGCTCAACAGTGCGACTAATCGGACTAATTTATTATTATTATTATTATTATTATTTTAATTTTAAATCCAGTTGTCCCGAAACGTAAACCACAAAAACTGCGATGGTACCTAAACGCACCCTGTGTGACACTGAAACATCGGCATAACAACGTCATAATCTCTGTAGACCTGGTTTGTTATTCAGTGGGAATATACAGTGCTGAAAACTTGTTTGTTAATCAGTTTCTTATGCTAAACAAATAATACTAATAATTATTGAATAGTGAATAAAAGTAAGAAAATACATTCTAAAAAATGATGTTTGTTTACATATTTGATAGCATTGTTTGTGGGTTTCCAAGGGGGTCACCAGCCAGAAGCTAATGCTATTAGGGGGGAACCCCGGTCTAATATATTATAGGCTCAGACTCTTTGTAGCAAAATATATTTTTGCAATAAAAGTCCTCATCAACATATACAGAGAATCAGACTACTGTTAAGGTTTGTGTGCCGCAGCCTCAGGTCAAGCACCAACTTCAGTCCAAATCCAGTATTTGTTTTTGCCCCTGTTTGAATGATGAAATGTTAGAGTCCACTGAATAAAAGCATTTGTAAGACTATTCAAAGTACTACCACTCACAAGGTCGTGCTGTTGTCCTGCATATGAGTCCGACTGGGACACGAACATACGCACAAGACGTGGCCCGTGTCAAGTTAACAAGACCAGACAGCACTAATTCCCTGACTCACTCTGTGGTTTATTTTACCGTTCTGCTCTCTCCCCACTTTCACTCCATCCCTCTGTCATCGCTCACTCCTCCCTCGTCCGTGCTGCCGTTCAACTATGTTTCCTTTGAGCTGCTTCTCTCCATCTTTTCTGTGGAGTTACTCCTCCATCATAGCCTACAGTCGTTGTGCATTTCATTCAGCCTCTATCCAATCCATCTGTCTTTCCCTCAGTCTCTTCTTGTCACCAGGTTCTCCCTCCGTCCTTCTCTGCTGAAGTGATTAATTAGATCCACGCTATTGTTTTCATTCTTCCATACGGTTCCCTCTCAACTCCCACCCTACTCATCCTTTCCACGTGTTTCAGTCCCGTTATTTACAGCGTGAACCCCAACATCATTCAGGTTAAGGTCACATGTAAAATGAACAGTTTCTTTTCATCTCCAAACTCAGATTTATTACTTAATCTCTTTTATGAGAGGAAGTATCTTCTGGGAAATGGAAATGAAAAATGCAAAGGCAACGTAAAAGAAAAAAAAAAGTGCAGCACGTACTGAATAGACCGGAGAGAATGACGGTTGTAATGATGACTAATAAAACTGTCTCCCTGCACAGCTGATCTATTGACATACATCTGCCCTGCTTAAGTCTCCTTAAACAGGTCACATTATCGACCAGCTCCAGGGCTGCAGCTCTGCAGGTGCCTGAGACTGATCTGAAAAACAAAAGGAAAACCCTGAGAATGCAGCACGGCATCACTGCTTGCTAGAAAAGTTATATATAACCTGCTAAAATCCAATAAATATGTCTATTTAAGGTCAATTTGATCTCATAAATCTCATTTTTATAGTATCATGGTTTCATGAAAAATTGGAATATCCTTTGCTCAAACAAATTCTGTAAAAAAAAAACAACCCAAAACATTAAATCAGAACAAAAAGCTTGTAACATCTATAATAAAAATCAACTTCTAAATACCGCCTGTGACCTATTTCTGCGTGGAGGTGTTGAGTTCTATTAAACCCACATGCTGAAAAACTATACAAACAAAGAGAAAAAATCCCGATGGTCTAAATGAGTCATGGCTAAAATATCTGCTGCAAACTTCTCGTCCTTGACACACTAAAAGTGTGGCTTCAATTTTCTTTCTCCACAGCTACTTGAAGGATATGTAATGTGAGGTATGGTTTCAGGCCTACAGTCAGATTTGTTGTGAGCAGACTGCACATCATCTTCAGCTGCCGAACTACTCCGGGAGCCTCCCCCACCTCCTCCTTCTTTTCTCTGACCTTGTCTCAAACCACAGGCACAACAGAGCAGTGTAAAGAGCCCAAACCACAAAGCTGAAGAAGAAGAAATAAACCCTCTCCCTGTTTTCCACACTCCGACTCACACTCTCCTAATTATTCAATTACACTGACATCTGTCTACCTCCTCCTGCAGCTGGCATTGTTCTACTGACTCTATAAGTCAAAAAGCTCCTTAAGATCCCATTTTCTTAGAGCCTTTATTGTGTTATATTAAATCTTTTTTATGAAATCTTCTCCAAGACTAGTGCGAAATTAATGTTTTTCTAACCCTTAATAAATGTATACATTTATAAAATATTATGCCCTACATATACCGATATATTTTCTTTTGACCTCTCTGATGCATAGTAATAGTTTGAAATTCTCTTGGTGTTCTGCATCAAAACCAATTTGCACTTAAATAGAGATTTAGCATAACAACAAGAACAACAATAATAATAACAATAATGATCATCATTATTGTTATTATTATTATTATTATTTTTATTGACGATTTTAAAAAACATTTAACTTTTTCTGCAACATCAGAATCAGACCATCCTTAGGCTTCCATGTAACAATTGTGATCGGTATGGACTTTGGTTTGGTAGACTGAGTGGTATACTACTCAGCTAAGATTACTCTAAAATGACCATCTTCAGGGTAACAGGTGTGAAGAGAAGTATGTATTCAGGTAATTAAAAAAAGAGAAAATCAGCAACAGCGTAAAGAAGCAGTTCAATCATTTTGTCATTGATATATGAACCAATGTCAGCCATCTTTAGTTCAGAGCCCAGTTGCCTGGGTTGCCAGCCCCTGACTATTAATATAGAACATAGCCAGTACCAATCTAGTACCGATCAACATCCTGACTCCTGTAACCTAAGGTTGTCTTTAAGTGTTTTTTCAGAACCATTGTACACTTCCTGTGTCATCGGTACCAGCCTCACCCTATATCTTGGTGCCTTTTCTGACACCAGCCATCATTGTTTCCTTGTCTCTAACATTGCTGGTCAAATGCCTCTAATTCCCCTCCTCTTCGTCTCCACCTCTGGTACAATTGCTGATTTGTCAGTTCTCCTATTTACCTAGGATTCATTTCCCCTGTCCCTGGAGACTACTGGGTTTTGCATCATACATCCCTCTCACATCTTTTTGTTCTGCTGTTTGGTGTAGACAGTAGAACAGACAAAATCAATAGGAACCAACCACCATGAATTCTAACAGACTTTTGTCTCACTTCAAACTTTAACAAAAAAGTCTCTCTGGTTCTATTTTGGGACCGTCTCATTTATCTGCAATAGGTAGGAGATACAGTAGATTTAATCTCCTGTAGATTTAATCTCCTGTACCAAGGTTCATTAAGAAAAGGAGCATTTTTAACACTGAGGTTACAAATAATACATTCTGACCTAAACCAGGAGACAAAGATGGCCAGACAGTTCCGTTCTAGAATTTGAATCACAGAATTGGTGGTTTGGTTTTACTCAAGATCTCAACAGTCAGTAGAATAGCATTAAAGAAAAATAACTTCTTATTTTTTCTTTGTTTTTGGTGTGTGAGGAATATTATATGGAGCTGTCTTTTACGAGGGGAGAGACTGTGACTCGCTGCCTTTTGAATCACCAAGGACATAAAGACAATAATGGATTTTGTTCTGAAACAAATTCCGTTTCGAATGACCTTCGACCCTTTGAGAATTCTGCTTCACTGGACTATTTAGACCAATGGCTCTGTCTATAATTTAAGCCCGTAAAGAAACTCAAGTAAGAATGGTTTTAGTTTCCTGTTGCACTTCATAACATTGAACGCGCTTCCTGTATCGTAATCAAACATAAAAAATAGACATTTTTGATTTCAAGAACTCTGAAAAACATGTTGCACAGACATCATTTGAAAACTAAGAATTATTCATGTGTTAATTATTATTGTGTCTAATTCTACTGTCTCCTTTAATAACCATAATATATATAAAAAAAAACTGATTGTAAACAATGGCTCCAAGTCTTTGTCTGTCTTTTTGTGTTTGTTTGTGAGACAGCAGTTCCAAATGCCTTTTGACTGTTGTTGATTACGAGGCATTTGAAGCTGTGATGTTTGCATCATGTCAGTGCAGAGCTTCGCTGCACACCGGATTGATCCCTCCAGTTCAGATCGTGCAGACACTAAGACACTAAACACATGTGAAATAATCTTATTTACTCTGTATGTACACTGCATTTTTTTTTAAGTAAATAAACTGTGTACTGAGTCGCTGGATTATCCAAGCACAAACGAGTACTGGATCAGAGTCCAGTGTCTGCAGACACTCGTTTTCTAACAGATTTGATCGGGTTTGGGTAACAAAGCCACCTACAATATATAATGCAATGCATTATATAACCATTGTTGAACAGTGTGTAAAAAATGGGTCCTACCTATACACAGTGGTTGGCGGGTAGTTGGCAATGTCGTAGATGAGTCGTATGTGGCCCTGGTACAGCTCCAGGGCCAGAGGGTCGTGATCCTCTTTATACAACAAAAGGCCGTTGTCTTTCTCTGTCGCCACCTAGAGACACAAAGTCAGAACACTCAGTGTAAGTTGGCTGGTGCCCATATCTTTTAACCAACGCTGTCCTCCTGTCCACAGCAGCAGATGTGGGCCACTCAAGGCTAGTACTGTAATGCATTGCTTTTGGTCCAATTTTAGGCAATTTTCTTACTGGGTCAACATGTGGCATGGAGGATGAATACCAGATGTGGGCCATTAAAGGCCTATTATTCACTGCTCACACTTCACAGCTTAATGACTAGAAGTGACAATTGCTTGGCCAAATTAACTCAATAGGTCTAAAGGGCCTGTACAGAGACAGATATGGGCCATATCCCATATTGGCTGTGATGTGGCCCACAGTTTGGATTCCAGATGCGGGCCACTACAGACCCACAGACTCTGTTTATTTACTGTATGTATATGTACAGCTCGACCATTCTGATCATCCGCTGATAACAGTTCCAAGCCCTGACGCAGAAAATACAAGACGCAATAATGAAAAATTCACTGGAAAAATGGCCATGATTTCACATGGCTATTGAAGTTCATGATTTGTGCCTATAAACTGAGCGTTTGTTGGTTAGAACGTAACGAAAACCAGCTTGTTTGTGGAAGATTTAAAACATGTTTTGTCAACTACTGTGTTCCACTTCTTTTCCGTTGGCTGTCTGTAGCCTTGTGGTAATCCTCAGTGATCCTGCCAACCTACGTACTGTAGCTGGCAAAGGCCGCGGACGCGGCTCCAAGTCAAAGATGCAAGCAGACTGTTGCAAAACCTAACAAGAAAATAAGGAAGAAATGTAAAATCTGCCAACGACTTTCCCCAAAACAAGGTCACTGGCTCCTCCTTCCCACACTTGACATATCCCACTTGCTGGTGTGTGTGTGTGTGCGTAGAGCACTAAGAGCCGCTAACTAGCGAGCAGAAAAGGGGCCAAGGGGCCAAGCACTTAACACTCTGACTTCAGTGAAGCATAGCCAAGTCAACAGCTCCTAACAAGCTGCTGAACAGGAGAAAGGAGGAGGTGGCGGAGGAGGAGGATTGAGAGGAGAACGTGACCGAGGAGAGAAAACAAAGAACACACAACGAAAGGAGGAGATGGTAGAAAAAGTCAGAAATGAGCTGTGATGAAGAATAAAAAAAAACAAAGGGTGGTTAAAACTTGAAAAATTGCAGCTGCACGTCTAGCGTTTGGTGTTTTCCTCTCTCCTGCCTTTGAATCAAAGCCTTTCGGTGGTGTTTTAAGAGCCTTGGCACTGGCACTAAGATGGCCTGGCAGCTGCGGCGGCGGCGGCGGCGGGAGCACAGACACACGTGCACTCACTCACATTTACACACCAGGATCCAAACAGGTGGTAAATATCTATTAGACTGCCCTCCTTTTTTCCTGTTTCACTTTCAATCACTTACGTTCTCCAATCCGACGGGAGAACAAATGTGTCTGGATGAAGACCTGGTCCTCAGATGTACCTGGGCTGTGGGTAATGAACGTGCACGTAAACGTGCACTGTACGTGTGTGTGTGCTCAGACGTAAATGCTCAGTGTAACATGGAAACAGCAGATGTTTTGTTTTGCTTTGTCGGAATGGAGAGACTGCTGCTGCCACCAGGCTGGACTGGTTTGTACGACCCAGGGCACTATTGTAGGAATCTCTAGGGTATGATGTATGGATATACAGTATATATATATATATATATATATGTGTTTTTTATAACCAATGTTTTAACACACAATAAAGTCTAAGGTATTTCACTCATAAGGTGAGCAGAATACGATGCTGTTTATGACTCCATAAATTCCTTCTGAATTCTTGTCGGATCTTTACAGCTCTGTGACAGTGGACTGTACCTGTAATGAAATATGAGCTGTGGGGCGGAGCTTCACGCCGGGCAACTCCACAAAGGCATCACGGCCCAGGAAGTGAACGGTGGCCGTCTTGTCACATTTGCTGCCGTAGAAAA